GCTTCTATGCATCTTTGCTTTTCTTCATTCTTCTTTGCTCTGGATGAGAGGAGACTCATCATTGCATTTAGATGGCCACTTGCAAGCTTTTAAGATCCCAGTCGCTACTTGCCAAAGTAGGAGGTGGAACAATGTTTTGTGTAGTATGTTATGCCATTTGAGCTTGATGTCCCCTGTGACTATGGTCCCGAGCCCACAGGTCCAACTACTAACTTCCTCTGGGTAGCTGGCTGTGGCCAAGCAGTGAGTACAACTTTGCCCCTTGTCAGCTCTACTATACACCTGGGAATTTTTATAGAACATACAAATATACTTGTAGAATCAATGTCTGCCAACCCTATACATGGTCTTGGGTACACTCCCCTCCTGCATAGACATACCTAATAGTTTAGCTTGTCCACCCATCTATCCACCCATATACCGATGTTTGCCTTCACTGACAATGCAGTATTGTCATATGTGCCAAAGGGTTCATCTTTGTTGTCTGCACCTCCCATGCATCTATGTCTTCCTCTTCCTTGATGCCACCGTGTTGATCACTCACATTTGGTACATTGCCCTTCTCTTCATCCAAATCAGTACTTGCCTCTACCTATCTATCAGTGTTCCCACCCCTCCCTCTCCCACCCCTAGTAACCAACAAGGAAAATTTCCTTCCATATATAAACCTTTCCTTGACTTTTTGCAATAATGGACTAATACAATATTTGTCTTTCTGTGATTGACTTATTTCACTCAGCATAATGTCCCCCAAGTTTATCCATGTTACGTGGTGTTTTTTAGATTCCACGTTATTCTTTAGGGTTGCACAGTATTCCATTGTGTGTATGTACCATAGTTCGGTTATCTATTTTTCTGTTGATGGGCACCTAGATTGTTTCCATCTTTTGGTTATTGTAAATAGTGCTGCGATGAACATGGGTGTGCATATGTCTGTTCTTGTCATGACTCTCACTTCTTTAGGATATATACCTAGCAATGGAATGGCTGGGTCATATGGTAGTTCTAATTCCAACTTTTTAAGGAATGGCCATATTGCTTTCCACAGTGGCTGTATCATTTGACAGTCCCACCAGCAGTGTTTAAGAGTCCCAGTCATCCCACATCCTTGCCAGAATTTGTTATTTTCTGTCTTGTTGAACTTTGCTACTAGTTCTGGGGCAAGATGGTATGGTAGTTATGTTTGTGTGTTAACTTGGGTAGGCCTGGTTGAGTGACTGGGCAGCTGGTGGTAGTTATTCCCCATGATGAGACTGGCAATCAACTCCATGGTGGGATCTACCACAAACAGCTGGG